ACAGAGAGAGAGAGAGAGAGAGAGAGAGAGAGAGAGAGAGAGAGAGAGAGAGAAAGAGAGAGAGAGCAAAGAGCAGGAAAAGTACATTTTCATAATCGAGTCAAGTACTCTACGGCGAGCGTCTATCCCGGAATTTTCAGTGGCCCTGCGCCCTCGCGGCGCAACTTCGAATAAAACGACATGCCGGGACCGTGGCTACATTTGATTCCACGATTTTTTCACTTCCGGCCCTTCATCTCCCCTGTGTCTCGTCCGCCGCGTTCTTTTTCCGTTTAATGGAAATTCGCTCTAACTTCGGGCGAAAGGGAATCATTAACGGCCCCTTGAATTATTTACCGTTAACAACGTGGAGACGGTTCCACTCGTTTTTACGACCGATCATGTTTCCTCTTACTGGGACACGCGATGGATTTATGTACCAGGTATAAGAATGGAATTTTTGCTACTCCTAAATTGTATATCCTTGTATTTCTTCGTTTGATTTCTGGTTTAAGTGCTTCGGTCAATTTCCTACTGTCTTACTTTTTAACTTCTTGTCCTATATTTACTTTTTAACTTTGTCAGTAATAATTTATTAGAAAATAGAGGGAAGCTTGCAATTCATATGTAGCCTTTGCTTCGGAACATAACAATTGATAATATTAGATACCAGAAAAAGTTCATTCGGGTTGTTAAATAATAATTCAAATACAAAATACATTAACAATCGAATTGAAATCGGACCTCAATTCATTACTAACAAGAAAACCGCGTGAACTTTTCCCGCTAGCTAACAGAAAAACAGTACATAATTTGTATCCAAAATAATTGTCATTTAATTAATTCCGTTCGAGAACTTGCTCACGAGTCTCGATGTTATATACCAAACGATTAGCGAAATATATGTATTAGCTGTGATTTATTATCAAAATCATACATAGTTTTAATGATTGAACTCAATATCGAACGAGTCAATACATTTCCATTGCACAGTTCTCCAGCAAACTTCCTGTTACACTTCGCGATATTATTCCCGCGTTTCCTGTCCAACATGGAACAATCGAAGCTTTTTTGCGCGAAATGGAACGGAAAGGGCTCAGGGGGGAGGATTAAATAAATAGTTCCCCGAGCGTTTCTCGTTTCGATGATTGCAGTTATTCATCTCGGCGACGTTTCCCACGAGTTTCCGGCGCGCGTTCCCCGTTAAATGCTCCCGATGCGTTTTCAAAGCGTCTTGGACAAGGGGGTTGGGAAACCTCATCGGAAACGCTTTGAAGGTTCGCCCCGGGGCCAGGAGTCGCCGGAAAAAGAGGATACCGACGATTTTGTTCAATTTCTAAGAACACCCCGAGCGAAAACCTCGGATCCCGCTCTTTGACCGTTCCGCCTCACGGCATTTCGAAAATGCCATCGAGCTTCCTTCTTTCTAATTGCGCGGCCTCGTTACGCGCTGATACGTCCCGCAGGAAGTGCACTCAACGTTTCAGGACGGTTTCTTTTTCCGTTTGCGCGGCGCCAGTCTCACTCCGCGGCCTTTTATTGCGACGCGGGTCCCTCTCTTTGGTACCGCTTCTCATTGTGCCTCCACCGTTTTAAAGGACCTATCCATTCATTCAGATTGAGTATATCATTCTTTCTTATGGTTCCTCAGCTCTGACGCCTCCACTGAGGAGCTGGCCACTTCGTGAGATGTTTTTATAGGATTCTTTGCCAAGATTGTGCTGGTTCAAGTGGTCATAGTTTGCTGCAATCATTTTTCAAGGGAATTTCAGATAATAGAAATGTTTCTAAATATTTCCGGTGCTTTAGATATTTTAGATGATCGATTATAGTTTCAGTACATCGTTACATATTGTAATGCAAGATAATTCCTCATTTTCCTGATTTTGATCTGATTTGAATTATTAAACATCTATATTTTCAATTACTTCTAGTATACTCAACCTTGAAACTTATTCAACACGTTGCCCTATGATTTTTTCCTGAACTGTGATCAATCTAACTACTCTATTACTAATAATTTATTGAAAATAAGAGAACATTCCAGTCTGATTCTATGTCAACGTGTGCTCTAAGGTATAATCGTTGACAACATAGGGACAATATGTAATTTGCATTCAATGAAATTGAATATTTGTTAAATGCTATTTGAAATCTCACTAGTTTGACACGATATTGTAGGGCAAGCGGTTAATTTCTTTTATTAACATATTTCTTTTCGTTAGACCAATATTCATGAGGCAATACTTCTTCCAACAAAAACAGCCCATCATCTGAACTTACCTGTTTCGCAAATCTCTATATCAACATTAATCTCCGTTCCCTGGTGCATTTTTACGAAATCCATGTTATAGAACCGGGTTTTCATTCAAATGACGAGGTTTTCAACGCATACCGCAAGTTCCGTCGGCCGAATGAGAAAAAGACGGCGTCTCCGGCAGTCGGCGACGCCGATAAATTACAAAGATTCAGCGAATCGAACAACCCCCGCGCGCGGTGTATCGAGTGCCGGTCCGCCGATGGCATCGCGCATGAATTACGCCTCGCCCCCGTGTGTTTCATGGAACATCGACCCGCGTGCATGCGAGCCCAGCACCGGCTAGACTTTTATTAGACGCGCGGCCGAGAGAGCCACGACTCGGTTTTCCGCGCGAGAGACCACCGACCCTTTAATGAACCGCCGTCGCCGCCGCCGCCCCTGGAGAATGGAAATCCCGATGGACATTTATAGAATTTCGATTTCCCGATTCGGACCGCCGCCGACGCCGACGTTGCAATCGTTGAGGAACAGAATGGCTTCTCTTTCATTCTTTGCTCTTGCGAGCGGACTGTCGTTGATTCTCTGCACGGGGTGAGTTCCGAGAAATGGAACAGTGCGGTATTAGCAAGAGATATTGTTTAGAATATGGGATACATTTGTTGCGAAATGTGTCTCGTCTATTTGTTTTTGTTTTCGTTTTTCATTCTTTTCCTTTTGCAGTAAACATGTAAACATGAAAAGTATTGTGTAACAAAGTGTACTTAGGTTGTTTCGATATGTAAAGGGTGGGGAATTATTGAAAGTACTTTACTTATTTTGTCAATATTTTCTTTCGTTTTGATATAAGACTGGGCGATTGAAATGATACTGCTAGAAATAGGCAGCTATAATTACAGTTGGTTACTCACATGATCCCAGCCGGTCTGTCTCTGAAACTGGTAGAAAGGCAAGGGAGGATGTCCACTCGCGGTGCTCGGTCCGATAGTAATGGCGGAATTAATTTCAGCACGTTTCTGTTACTGGCTGAGGTGAAGCGTGCGGCCGAATCGCCTTGCCCCTCTTCACTTTTGATCCACAGGTCGGCTGGGATGATGTGAGTAACCAACTGTACCTTCTATTTTTTAAATTAGAACTTTTCACCTAGTATTAATTAGTTTCAGTAAAACCTTGCACCTAAAATATAATGCGTTGAACGCAACGTTTCCGAATGTTAATTTTCATACCAATATTATTAGCAGTGGAAGTAGACTTTCACCTTTTGCCCTTCCAAATTCCATCTGGAAAGTTTTATTTTGCACAAAGATGTAGTTTTCCAATCACAATCTAATCACTTAGATGTTCCTCAATTGCTTCCATATTGCCTGTAAAATGAACATCCGTAAAACAGAATCACAGGTAAAACGATTTAATTGAGAAGTTAAAATTCACATTGTGACTAGCA